TTTCAATTCAATAATATATACAAGGTTGGAAGGTTCCCAACCTTGTGCCTATATTATTTTATGAAATGAGCACTTTGATGTTACTTGTTGCTAGTTGTTTGAAGGCATATGATTAACCGAGTTACTCAATAAATAAATAAATAAATAATCAATCCAGAGTTTTCAATAATATATACAAGGTTGGAAGGTTCCCAACCTTGTGCCTATATTATTTTATGAAATGAGCACTTTGATGTTACTTGTTGCTAGTTGTTTGAAGGCATATGATTAACTCAGCCGAGTTACTCGGTTAGCAATCTTATAAACTTTTCTTTCCCATTGTTGGGCTGCAGCTCCCCTCGTTCATGACTCTTGGCCATGTGGACAAGAAATGGTGAGAAGCCAGGAATGGGGAGGCGATGTCATTGCTTTTGCTAATCAAAGCCCTGATGTCCCAGCCTTGATGTCTAGCTTCAGTCCTGCTCTTCAGTAGACAGAACAGACCTATGCAGCTATAAGGTTCCCCCTGAAAAGCAGGACAAGTGTGGCTTTTCAGATTTTTTTTGGCCCCAAATTTCCAACAGCTCCTATAAAGCTCAACCAACAGTAAAAACTCTAGGAGTTGCCATTCAGAAACATCTGGAGCACTGGTTCCCAACCTTAGATCTCCAAATGTTTTTGAGCCAAAACTCCCAGAAGCCTTCACAACTATCCTGTTTCCCCAAAAATAAGACCTAACCTAAAAATAAGCCCTAGTATGATTTTTCAGGATGCTCGTAATACAAGCCCTACCCCAAAAATGAGCCCCAGTTAAGTGAAACCCTGCCCTCCGTCATTGCGCAACGACCAGAGGAAGATGACATGACCGTATTTGAATAAATGTAGATTGTTGTAGATGAAAAAAGAGAAACCTCCCCTGAAAATAAGCCCCAATGTGTTTTTGGAGCAAAATCAATATTTATTTATTTATTTATTTATTTATTTATTTATTTATTTATTTATTTATTTATTTATTTATTGGACTTATATACCGCCTCATAGCTCTACAAGCACTCTCCGGGTGTTTTACAATTTTAATTATACAGGCTACAGATTGCCCCCCCAGCAAGCTGGGTACTCATTTTACTGACCTCGGAAGGATGGAAGGCTGAGTCAACCTTGAGCCGGCTACCTGAGATTTGAACCCCAGGTCGTGAGCACAGTTTTAGCTGCAGCAGAAACACGGTAGCTGTGCTGGCCAGGATTCCTGGGCATTGTAGTCCAAAGACATTTGGGGACCCCAAGGTTGGGGAGCTGTGATCTGTAATGCCACAACTACCCACCTTTGATCTCCAGACAAATACTGTACCTACTTTGAGGAGAAGTGGTTCTACAGGCATCCCCCTCACAACAGGAGATGATTGTCCGAACATATCTGCCCTGTCCCAAGTTCATGTCCGTAGTGAGTGAGTTACACACATTGGAATAATAGCACTGCTTCATCACCGTCTGAATTCTTTCTCCGGCTGCAAGAGAAGAAAAAGAAAGGAATTCACTTCTTGAACCTGTTTCTGAGTCTTCCTGTCCTGTGGTCACAATCCAGCCACCTAGAATTCCTTAAACAGATGTCCTCTTCCCCCTGAATCAGTTATTCAGTGGTTTCTCATTGTTAGATTCTGCCTCCCACAATTCCAAATGCTTTAAATGCCCCTCCTATGCCTTAGATACCAGCAGTAAAACCTTTACTCTAACATGTGCTTATATTCTGCGGGCCACTCTTTTCTCCTGGCCCCTGTCCAACATTCGATTGTGTCCACCAAGGCCTTATTTATTTTCTTAATTTATTTAAAGTAGTTCTGTCCCGTCTTTCTCCTCCAAAAGGGGCTCAAGGCAGCTCACATCGTGACAAAAGACAATATCCAAAAGCCAAAAACAGTCAATATGCAAATATTTAAAAAGAATTAAACGAGTATTATATGAAAAACGGTAAATGAAATCAATATTAAAACACATTGAAAACAACAAAGCACAACAATCCAGACCATCAGTCATGGAGGAAAGGACTGCCTGAGGAGAAAGGCCTTTGCCAGCTTCATGCCCTGCTTATGAGGGATCCAGGACATCTGAAGCAAAGCACGTTGGATATTGGAAGAAGGAGAAAACATTGGGTGAGACTGGAGTTATGGATTGATGCAGCAAAGCAGTTGATGGTGGTGGTCATCGTGGTTGTGGTGGCAGCATTATAGACCAGAAGCCTGGGGCAAGGATGAGGTGAGGGTTGATGTTTCCATGCCATGGTGATTAATTTGCTTCCCCTTTAGGCTGGCTGCTCTTGGAAGCTAGCAGCTGGACCAGAGACAGACCCCAATTCTGACAGAGCAAGTAAAAAAGTTTAGCCTATGTTTCAAATGCAGAGAGCATTCGTCTGTCTTTTGTAGACCACACAATTGCAATTTAGAGATCCAAGCCCCTCAACTATCTCTGTCTTCTTATTTAGGTACAAGATGACTCATTTGAACTCGTGAAATGTCCTGTTTATGGCGTTGGAGTATGCAGATCAATTGTGTCCCAGTTTGCAGTGAGGGATTCTGCCGATCACTCAGTTCTACCCTGCTATTGGGGCACTATTGTGCACTGGTCACTTCCTGCCCCTCCTCTCTTTGTCTGCCTTCTTTCTTGAAGAAAGGCCTTTTTCCAGGATGGAGATTGCCTGATCACATGCTCTCTGATAGCTCTCTCTCCATCCACGCATCCATGCCATCCAGCCTTAGGGGGTGGTTTACCCACTTTGGAAACATTCTTCAAAGCTAAATAAACTTACCTGGAATATCTAAGACAAATGCCTTCTTTCTTTTTCACTCAAAGGCTATATTTTGGCCTTTGCTACTGAAATACTAAATTCTGTATTAATGCATACATAGGCATCCTTCAGTTTCGAGAGACTATGGTAACATGCTCTGAATCGAGGAGTGTCCTCTCCAGAGCACGAAGCCTGGGTAAAGTAATATGGAGGATAGGCTGTTACCGAAGCAGCAGATCCCCCCTCTCCACATTGCTGAAATGGTCCAATGGAAAGGCAAGAGCCAATACAACCGGTTCCAGCAACGTCGCAGGAGTTGGTAGAATGGCACCAACTGCCTCCAGGACTCCAGCTCCAGATTTTGCCTCGAGGTTAACTCCTGAAGCCTTTTCCATCAGCGGATATAGCCACAAGGCAGTGGAGGTTTGAAGTTGGAGTTTTCTTTCTCCTAGATGGGCTGCCTTCCAAGGCTGACGAGCCCCACCTACCTGGCCTGCTCTTTAATAGTGCAGAAGTATGATCTGACCCTTAAAACTTTCCTGCCTCCCAGGTGTATGTATTAATAAACCTTTTCTAAAATTATTACAAGTTAACTCCACATTTTTGACTCTGTACTTAATTTAGCTCATTGAAGATAATTGGTCATATAACACACAATGATCTCTAACCCACGGTACCACTTACCAAACCATGATTGGCCCTATTATTAGTCAAGGAAGGGAGCCATTTCAGGCAACAGATGCTCCTCATGAACTTCCAAGCTGTTCCTCTCTGTTGAAGGACAGAACTGGGCACGCCACACAACCTTGTGGTCTCCTGAACCATCTTGAGACATCCGGTAGATAGAGGATGCCATCCCACTGCAGCAACACTTAAAATGCTAATACGCTCAACTTCTCTGTGTAGACTAGGGAGAGTACACCATCTTATCTCAGGCAGGAAGATGTCTGGGACCAGCCCTGTACCAACCTAAGGAGTTTTCAGTCAATATGATGGCACAGGTGTCTTGACCGGGTTCACAGGTCATCATGGGGCCAGTACAGCTGTTGCCCATGCCATTACAAACTTCACATTCCAGAGAAGTGCCTGAAAGAGAGGAATGGAAACCAAGTTAAGAGCCATGTGTGCAGGTTTGGAGAACTCTTGAATCTTAACATTTTCTTCCTACTCTAATGAGTGCTATTAACCATTAAGGAGACCCTGCCAATGGACTATCTACAGCAGTGGTCCTCAACCTTGGGCCTCCAGATGTTCTTGAACTACAACTCCCAGAAGCCTTCACCACCACCTCTGCTGGCCAGGATTTTTGGGAGTTGAAGTCCAAGAACATCTGGAGGCCCAAGGTTGAGGACCACTGATCTACAGCACAAAGTGTGATCTATTAAGCAGCCACCGTTTCTACCAAAGTATGTTGGAATCTATAGTGTTGAGAAAATTATCTCTTGGAGATCCTTAGTCTGTAATAGAACATTTTTTCAGCTTTTAGCCAGGTAATAAGCAATGAACATTTGCCAAAGAAACAAAATTCCTGTTTATCATATCCCGCTTACCTGTTCTTAGAAGCACGAGGAACAGGAAGGATCCCAAGATAGTCTGCATCTTGATGCCAAAGGTCACAAGAGGAAGCAGCGAGAATCTGTAATGAGGATACCGGAGTTTTAAAAAAGCCTTATATGTGCCAAGATTTTTCTCTAAGAAGTCCGAAATCTAAGTGCAAGCCCAGCTGAAAATAATGGAAATGTTCCTGTGACATTTTAAGGACTTATTTGGTGAACATTTATTTGGCAATACTGTATGTATTTTCCCATAACATTTTCATTATGCAGGTTTCTTGCCTTATTTCAAGTGATCAGGACCTCGGAAGCATATGTATCTGTTTGCCTGTCAGATCATCTGTTCACCCTATTGAAATGGAATCTAACAACAGTTGTTTTCCAGTTTCACAGCTGAGAGATTTGTGCTGTGAACCATGGCATGCTAGTGACCAAAGATTTCTAAGTCATGACCCACCTTCTGGTTTAATAATCAAGGATCAAATCACAGATGCTCAAAGTACCTTGCTCATGACTGGCAATCCTAAATATCCACATTGAACCCCTTAAACATATTGTCAAGGTTGGAGGGATCCTCGGGAGAGGCAGAAAGACTTACCAGAAGTTTGTAGGTATGACACCGAGAAGGTGGAACTGCTGTTCTGTACTTCTGGCAGAAATAACGTTCTGATTCTCTCCTGCTTTGCTTTCCCCTTATAAAGACAGGGAAGGATTTATGTGTTTATTCCCTTCCTCCCCCTCTCCCTTTAGCTTAGTGCAAATATAGGAAGATAACCTACACCTTGCCACGAGCAGGACAAACATCAGGGCAAAATACTTTTTTATCCGCTTGCAAAAGATGAAAGGTTTGGAAGGGGGAAGGAGGCGCTGGAGGCTGGCAGAGGCCCACAGTCGTGCTAGGACTCCTATTCTCGGTGGTTGTTAGATTCCATCCTTTCCTTTTTCATGACTGTCACATCAAGTCCCTAATTAACTACTCTATGAAATAAAGTATTTACTAGTGATGGGCACCAATCAGAAAACTGTGATTTGTTTTGATTTGTGATTCATCAAGGTTGACGAATCACAAATAACAAATTTATATTTTTTTTCCTGGCGAATAGATGAATCAATTTGTCAATTCATTTTTTCCCTTTAAAACCCTATAAAATGCCCCCCCCAAGAAACTATATACATCTAAATCACAGGGAAGCTGCCCTGAACTCTCCTCTACAAGCCTTGCAAGTTTGATGAAGGCTGGGTTTCAGATATCCAAGTTATACACCCATAAAGAGGGACACCCATGAAAGTGTCTTTTAGCGGCTGGCTTGGGAAAACTCAATCTTCACCAAACTCAGAAGGATTGTATAAGGAAGTCGTGGGAAGCGTCTCTGCAGTTTTGTTGTCTCTAGGTGCCTGGGAGTGTTTTATAGCCTAATAAATTGACAAATTTAAAAAATCACTACAAATGTATTGATTTATATTAATCGGGGCATTGATTCGGACAACTGCAAATCAACAAATTAGCAATTTTTGACAAATTTTGCAATTCAATTTTTAATTGATGCCCACCTCTAGTTTGTACTCTCAACTACTAACAAAGTTGACAGGGTCTGTTGTTGTTATTTCTGTTACTGGTAATGATTCATTGCTTTCTAGTTAAGTCTACTTACCCAATTGAGGTCAGATTAAAGCCAAAGTGTTCTAGAGCAAGTGAAGGTTTGAGGAAAGAACACACTGAATGAAATGGAGACAGGCGAGTGATTGTAAGGAGATTGAAGGAGGAGACATCACATTGAAAAACGCTGTGTGATTATGGTAGAATGCAGAGAATTGGAGGGAAGCAATTTCATACAATAGCATTCCTACCAATTATTTTACATCCTATAGACCTATTGAGCCTAAAACTGTAAGGTAAAGGTAAAGGTTGCCCTTGATGTTTAGTCCAGTCATGTCCGACTCTAGGGTGCAGTGCTCATCTCCGTTTCCAAGCCACAGAGCCAGCATTTTGTCCGTAGACAGTTTTCGCGGTCCGGTGACCAGCGCGACTAAACACGGAATGCTGTTACCTTTCCCACCATGGTGGTACCTATTTATCTATTCGTATTTACATGCTCTCAAACAGCTAGGCTGGCAGGAGCTGGGACAAGCGACAGGAGCTATGCAACCAGATTTCAGCCATCATCTCCAAAGACGAGAAACCTGCCGTGTAATAATGGCCTGCCCCATCCCACCTCAAGGTAGAACTGGCCCAGCCATTCTCAGGCTGAGAGTTGCCTTCTGCACCTCTCATCCCCCTCGCAAATTTTCAGCCACAGTAATCACACAGCTATCTTTGTCAGCTTCAGAAGTCTGCAGGTTTCCGGTAAAGTTGGTGCCTAGACCCAAGTAAATGTCACACTTCAAAGTGACGCCTGGACAAAAGAAAAGGTTTTGCACTATTTTAGGTTGATTAGAGCTCTTTCCTAAACCGGTAACTACTATTTGCTGCTCTCAGCACCTGCTACAGTTTTAATCAGAGAGTCAATTAAACTTCTGAACCCGGAATTTTATTGTACGGCAATGCAAACACAAGGGTGTTCCCACGCACATGATTTTGTAAGCTAGGTCGAACTTACAGTGGCAAGATATTGCTGAAAAGCTATGACGGATAAGAGATACATTGATTAAGTGACAGCCACCATTTTGATTTACATCGGTGCGAACGTGTTGACAAAAATGAAGAGGGAGGGAGGGAATGAGTGAGTGAGCACATGAGAAAAGACAAAAGATTATGACCTTAAAGATTAACAGGTTTATGTCATTGTGAGCTTTCATGAAGTTGATTTTGATCCATGAAAGCTCATGGTGGAATAACAAATTAGTCTCTAAGGTGCCAAGGGATTTCTCCCTTTCTGTCTCCCCGCCTTCTTTATTTTTGCCAGCACTCTGCTAAAGACTAACATGGCTACTTCTTAAGCAGTGTAAACTGAGATCCTCATAACCTGAACTGACTTCGTGACCCCATGGACCAGAGCACGCCAGGCCCTCCTGTCTTCCACTGCCTCCCAGAGTTGGGTCAAATTCATGTTGGTCGCTTCGATGACCCTGTCCATCCATCTCATCCTCTGTCGTCCCCATCTCCTCCTGCCTTCACACTTTCCTAACATCAGCATACATTTAGGCAAAATCACAAACTATGTAGCCCAATTAGTTAGTTTCTAGTATTTCCCTGTACTTGAAAATATCACTCTTTTTCTTTCTTTTCTTTTCTTTATTTATTTTATTTCATTTTTTTTTTGGACAGTCATTCCCAGAATCCCCCAACAAACAGCTGTTACTGCTGTAAAATGTTTGACAGTCAGAGAAATCCTTAGTGATCTACAGCAGATCACGCAAAGATTGGCTGGTAGGTATAATTCTGTCTTCTGTCCACCACTCCGGTATGCCAGAGAGATGGCGGAAGATTGGGCAGAGCAGACTTTCCAAGTATCCCCAGGTGCCACCAAGAATCTTCACACAGAAGCTTTAGAACAGGCTTGTCCAACCTGCGGCCCAAGGGCCGCATGCGGCCCAGGTCAGCTCATAATGCGGCCCAATGCAATTTTTTATTTTTAAAGAAATTCCAAAGTTTTAAGTTACACTGCCGGTGCTTGCGGCCGGAATGTGGCCAGGGCATGTCACAACAGTAGAGGGGGAGAGAGGGAAGGAAGGAAGGAGTGGGAGGGGAGGGGACAGGGGGGCGGCGTGACTGCATTGCACTGTCCCCGTCAATAGGTGGACCCCCTCCCGGCCCCATAAAGCCGCCGGAGTCGAAGCTGGCAACCTCTGCTGTCTGAGATCGCAGCTGCCGGTAAGCGCACTTGGAGCGGGGCTGCGGAGGATGGCTAGGGCTGCCCCCCATGCGGCCCAAACCAAATTTATGTGCGACCCAAACCAAATTTTCATCTTCTAATGTGGCCCAGGGAAGGTGAAAGGTTGGACACCCCTGCTTTAGAACATGTAACACCGTTTCTTTGACTTTGATGTTTTCCTTTCTTTCGTATAAAGAACTCTGACCGCATGTTTTCCTAAGTTCCTGGATTGCCATATGTATGGAAAAACTTTGCCCAATTCTGCCATTTTGTCTTTTGCAGTGACATACATTTGCTGAGGATTTTTTTTTCCTCTTTTCTATTTTGGTAATGTTTGGTCAGCCCACTCCCACCTGTTAACTCATCGCAGTCAATGACACGGATTTCCATCTTGCATCTGAAAGGGCATGCTAAATAACACTTGCTAGGCTTTAAGGTACATGGGGCTTCTGTTTTCATTAATGTGTATCTTTTTTTCCAAGTAAAGCTGCAATCTCATTGAAAGTATGCCTCCATTGGATTCCTTGTAACACCGTTTCTTTGACTTTGATGTTTTCCTTTCTTTCGTATAAAGAACTCTGACCGCATGTTTTCCTAAGTTCCTGGATTGCCATATGTATGGAAAAACTTTGCCCAATTCTGCCATTTTGTCTTTTGCAGTAGCATACATTTGCTGAGGATTTTTTTTTCCTCTTTTCTATTTTGGTAATGTTTGGTCAGCCCACTCCCACCTGTTAACTCATCGCAGTCAATGACACGGATTTCCATCTTGCATCTGAAAGGGCATGCTAAATAACACTTGCTAGCCTTTAAGGTACAAGGGGCTTCTTCCTCCTGTTTTCATTACTGTGTATCTTTTTTTTTTCCAAGTAAAGCTGGACTCTCATTGAAAGTATGCCTCCATTGGATGCCCTGGAACTTGTTTTCAAAATTTCAAATAAATACGTGTGTGTTCTATGCTGTCAAGTCAGAACCAATTTATAGCAACCCTAATAAAGCTTTCAAGTGAGACATTTAAGGAGTGGTTTTACCGGTTCTACTTCCCCAGGGAGTTCCCATGGCTGAGTGGGGATTTGAGCCCTGTTCTCTAGATTCCTAGTCCATCACTCTACACATTACATCACACTGGGAATTAATACAAGATAATGGTTCTCCTTGACATTTAGTCCAGTCATGTCCGACTCTAGGGGGCGGTGCTCATCCCGGTTTCCAAGCCGTAGAGCCAGCGTTTGTCCATAGACAGTTTCCGATTTGATTTGATCTTACGACTGCTGGTCTTCTGACCTTGCAGCACAGAGGCTTCTGCGGTTTAGCCTGCAGCGCCACCACGTCTCTGGGAATGAATGTACTTACCACCAAACGTTAAAAAGGAAAAATGAACACAATTTTTTTTTTAACAAAATCACATTTATGGAGGAAGAGAACAGAAAGAAAACAGACTGGTCTAAAACTGAGATCCATACAATCATCCCGCCTTGTCTGCTCTGCCTTTGCTTCACCAAAGCCACCAGAGAACATGAGACTATTAAGACAGTGGGCTGTGTGATACTCAGAACCCCCAAACAAGAGAATGAAACAGACAGTGGTGCCTCGCTTAATAGCGATAATCCGTTTCAGGAAGTGACGGGAGCTCACTCTGTCACGTGGATTTGATCTTACAACAGCTGGTCTTCCGACCTTGCAGCACAGAGGATTCTGCAGTTTAACCCACAGCACCACCATGTCCCAGGAATGAATGTACTTACCACCAAACATTAAAAAAAGGAAAAATGAACACAAATGTTTGTGTGTGTGTGTGTGTGTGTGTGTGTTTTACAAAATCACATATATGGAGGAAGAGAACAGAAAGAAAACAGACTGGTCTAAAACTGAGGTCCATACGATCATCCTGCCTTGTCTGCTCTGCCTTTGCTTGACCAAAGCCACCAGAGAATAGGAGACTATTAAGATAGTGGGCTGTGTGATACTCAGAACCCCCAAACAAGATAATGAAACATATCTCTCAATGCATATTGATG